TCACTGCTAGTTTGAAAGTAATAGAAGAACAAACAGAAGAACTAGCGGATAAAAGAACAAGTTGGACGAGGAGGCAATCGGCCAAATTTAGAAGATGGGAAATTGTACCTCATAAACGACCCAATATCTTCAACAAACAAGTGCAATTTTAAAAGATGGGAGAAGAGGGAATAGTTACAGGTTAAAAGAGACTTAGGCTACGATGCCACATGTGGAACTTGTTTGATCCTAACCTAAATGAACCAATTATAGAATCGTTTTTAGAGGATGGAGAAGCTTTGAGCATGGATGGGGAATGATACATTATTAAAATTACATGAAAGTATTATTATTGTTAGGGGTAATATTTTTAAAAATCCTTGTGTGTTAATTACTGAGCTATTTGTGGATAAAATGATATGATGTCCGCATTTGCTTTAAATTACTTCACCACCACCACCCCCACTACCAACAAAAGTGGAAGGAGGAAGATGGAGCAAGCTTGGCAAGATGTGGTTAATTGTTGAAGCTGGTGACAGTACATGAAAGTTCATAATACTATTTTCACCTGTTTCATTTTGAAAGTTTCTACTGAAAATTTAATAAATAAAACTGTGGAAGAATGAAAAAGCAAAAACAAAAGCATAAGCGAGAGAAATGTGTTATAAGCTTAAAAGGTGGTACGGGGCTTTGGCAGAATTACTTTAACTTAGACTTTAGTGGAACATCTCAGATCTTTGGAAGCCTGCCCTTCAAGAGAATAACTTCCATCTTTTGCTTTTCCATGTAGAATAGTTCATACCTTTTGCTCAGTGAGAAGACCGAATTCCTATGGCAAAACACACACACACACACACACACACACACAAACCAAGTGAGGTGGGAGAAGGGAAGTAGGGAGAAATAGAGGAGGGAAAGGAGAGAAAAAGAATGATACAGATGTATCCCCCTTTCTCGTGGATTTTATAGTCTAGTAGAGGAGACAGCCATTAATGCAATAGTCATGCAGATGACTGTTTAATCATCAATGGAGGTAAATGCCATGAAGTTAAAGAGGAAATTTCCATAAGAGCAAGCAGCATAAGAACTTAGGAGGCAAGGACACCCACCCTCCCTAAGGAAGTGACCTTTGCTGGTGCTGAGATCTGAAGAATAAATGGATATTACACAGACAAAACAGCTAGGGGAAAGCTGTTTAGGACAGTCAAGAGAGAAGCCCTTGACCTTGGGATGCAGGGAGGAGAATACACTGAAGGGGGCACCAGAGTATACAAAGGAGGCATCAGCAGCCCCAGTAGAAACAAACAATGGCGGCTTATGCTGGAATGGTGACAATGGAGATGGAGAGAAGTGGACTCATTGGGCATATCTTTATGGAGTAAAATTAGTCCAACTTGGGGATAGATTAGTTATGATGATGGGTATAGATGTTTCATATTACACTCTTGGTATTATTTCTGTGGCATCCCCCCAAAGCACTGAGCTTTAGGGGCTACTGTGCTAATAATGCACCACCAGATGGGTTGAGTTGTAGGGTGCCAGGAAAAGGGACCATGAATTGGACTGATCCAAGTATTTTACACAAAATCTGGGAGACTATTAGGAGAGAGCTGGGGGCTACTGTCTAGCCTCTCAACACCCCCACCCACCACACTCACACACATTCACACCCACTGCCAGGCTCTGAGGAAAGAGGAATCGCTTGATGTCAGGAGATCTGGCTTTGGGTTCTGGTTCTAGCTCTTACAAGTGGGGAGATGTTGGTCAGTTCAAGTTTCTGGGTCATGAACACAGGTGCTGCCATTGAGGTCTAAGGACCACGGGACCCTTGACTCCTATAATGGGCACTGAGCTGAAATGTTGAGAGGAAGGAGCTGACGGAGGTGGGAGGTATCCAAAGTAGCACTTTAGATCTGGAGGTGATGAGCTCTACAGTAATCCTTGGAGGGCAAGCTGGTCTTTTCTTGTGAAATCACCCAAATGGTCCTTTTTATTGTACAAATGTAAAGGAAGAAAACCCTCTATGAAATATTTCCACTTCAGAAGATGATCTTTGCTTTCACTTTGCATAACCAAAGCCTGGTTCCCACTCCACCATGAGAGGGCAAGACCCAGGACTGTAGCAGGCAAGTCTACTGTTTTCTCTAATGATTGTAGATACGGGGAGAGGAGAGAAGGAGGCTAGTATGATTGCTCCCAATATGCATGAGTCCTACAGTTAAGCTTACTTTCATCCATGACAGTGTCTGTTTTCCTGAATAGCATCCTTTGGAAAGGAAAAGCAAAGTCAAAATACAAGAGGTTGCCCGATACAATGTTCATCGCACAAAGCACTGGATTTAAAGACGAAAGACCAAGAGTCAAAACTCTTTATGTCCACTTACTAGCTGTGTGATTACACACAAACTTCATACTCTCTGCACCTCCCTTTCCTCATCTGTGGAACTGTGATAATAAAGTCACCTCACCAGGTAATTTATGACGATTGAATGCAACACTCTTTGTGAAAGCACTGAGAGTAAGTGATTAAATATGTGATGATTGATAGTTGCTTTCTTTCTGCTGAAGACAGTAATTTTTTCAGTCATCTGTCCTTGTTCCACAGGGAAAACCAAAGAAAGGAAACAGACTTTAACCAGGATCATGTGGCATGTGTACTCAGTCTGTCTCCAGTCACTTCTGAGTCTTAGTTAATAAGAACACTAGCCAACCAAACCCAAAGTCCTGAAAGCCTGGCCCTTCAGGTTGGCCGCCTGGGGGACAGCATGCTGCAGCTTTGCCTGGTCGACCAAGGTCCTGGCTTTGATGCCACCCTTGTTGGACCAACATAGCACAGCCTTGACACATGAATGTTGATGAACAAACTGATACATCTGTCCTGTAACTGTAGATGCTGGAAGCCAATTTTCATCCCACTGATACACTTGTTGACTATGAAATCTTGCATGGGTCTTCATGAAAAAGGACTTCAACCACTTCCATTTTGACCCCAAACTTTCTAATTGATTAAGTTCTTCTTTCTAGCCCATCTCTTAACTCAGGCAAAAATCTCTTCAGGCAAAGGATCTCCTAATGGGACCTGAAACTACGCCCTCACACAATAAGCACTGCACTGAACCAGCAAGACCCTGTGTGACTGAGCCTAAGACAATGATCAACTTGACCTTCACTGCCCACCTGCACGTATTCACCAAACTTTCCTCATATAAACCTGGAAGTATTTCTGGCACTTTGGAGACAGGCTTTGAGATGTTAGTTTGCTGTCTTCCCGGTGTTGGCCTCACTGAAATAAATCCCTTTTTTGTTTCACCACCACTCATGTCTCTGTCTTTGGATCTTGTCCTCAGAAAAGTGGCCGAACCTGGTCTGGTTGGGATCCCCAGAGCCAGGTGCTCTTGCAACCCTGCCCCTCGGCTACACTAATGACCAATTCTACCTTGCACATGACTACCTATGACCAACTACAGCTTCTAAACTAGAATTCTCCTGAACTTGAGTGAAAACGTGCTAGTTCAGTGTTTCTCAAGGTGTGGTCCCTGGGACACTTGTTCCTGAAACTTCCGGGGATCTCATTAAAATGGAGGCAATCCCCAGCACTACTGAATCAGAATCTCTGGGTGTGTGCTCAGGGACCCGCACTGTTAACCATCACCACAGGAGTTTGGATGCTCATTAAAGTTTGAGGACTGGTTAAGAAAACTCATTCAAACTACTAAGGCTTCAAGGGCTATATATCATAAATAATACTTCAAGCCTGAACAGTGGTTAAGTATATTGAAGTGCTGAATTCCAAAGTATTATAACAAATATAGAGGAATAATGGACTTAGCAAATCACCATTTGGCAACTGTCATGGTACTAATTGATTTAATCATGAATCATCAATAGATGTGAAAACTAATGAGTGAAAATTTGATGAGTGTAATATTTAGATAATCTCAATACATCTCCCCACAAAATGCTTATTCATTGCTTACTAAGAGATAAGTGAAGTAGTAGTTACTAATTCATAATAAAGTAACCAGGCAGACACCATCTTAACCAATTGACACAAGGGAACAACAACAGTAATAGGACAAATAAATACTATGCGCCTTTTGATGTTATACACTGAGAAGAACACATCACTTTGATATGTTCCTGTCAGAAATGTATAATCTGAATCCAACCATGGGGCAACACCAAAAAAAACCAAATTGAGAAATATTTTACAGAGTAAATTTTTAGAACTGTCAATGTCATAAAAGATAAGGAAAGACTAGGGAACTGACTGGATTGAGGGAGACTAAAAGAAATGACAACTAAATACAACTCATGATCCTAGACTGGATCCTGGAACTATAAAGGATATCATTGGGTCATTACTGGGACAATCAGCAAATTTTTAGTGAGGTCTGTGGATTAGATGATAATATTGTTCAACATCAATTTCTTGTGGTTATATAAAAGAGAGCCTTTATTTTTAGGAAATACACGTTGAAGTATGAAGGGACAAAGGGGGCTCAAGTCTACAACTCTCAAATGGTTTGGAAAAAATTAAGGAATATCCATGAGAGAGGAAATGATAAGGCAAACGTGGTAAAATGTTAATGTAGAGGAAGCAAAACTTGTCTTCTATCCTGTTAGTTTCTTTCCCTGGGGCTGCATATTAAGCTGACAAAAAAACCAGATTAACAGAAGAAAAAGATTTATTCATGTACACAAGGGAGCAAGCGAAAGAAGTAGCTGGCTTCTTAACTGGTTTGAGTGAGAGGCTTATATACCTAACTTGATGGAGGGAAAGGAGAGAGAAAGGGGTTTCTTTAGGAAAAACAAATGGGTTTTTAGGAGAACTACTGAGAGATAAGAAAGTGATAGTGTTTGTCTATAGAAGTATGAATGATCTTTCTGTCTCCCTCTGGGCCATAAAACTCCTCAATGAATGAATTTGGGGAAGGCTTTATTCAGGTTTACCCTTCTGGGAGTAGATCTTCCCAAAAGAAGGAATTTATGGTAGTCTTGTTTTCCAGAAATTGCTGCTTTTAGTCAGATAAGGAAAGCCCCAGGAAGGTTTCTTCCTGCATCTCTTGATTCTCAGATATCTTGAGCTTGAAATAATCTTTATACCAACTCTGAGGTTCTGAGTGGTTCCCTACATTAACAATTGGGAAATCTTGATGAAAGATACATAGGAGCCCTTTGATAATAATAATAATAACATAAAGTTTGTTGCAAATTTTCTGTAAATTTGAAATTATTTTAAAATAAAAAGTTTTTTAAGTATGCATACCCTAATCTCAGAAATTGGAAATTTCATTAAAAAAGAAAAAAAATCATCCCAAGTGCCAACTCTGAAGGGTGGATTAAATATAAAAGGAAAGATTTAATCTCCATAAATAAGTGAGTAGTACACATCTACCCTTGAGGAAGAGAGCCCTGTAAGGAACATTAGTAACTCAATCCAGGTGGAAGGAGGTATTGTCCAAGATGCTCAGAGCTTTGCAGTAAGAAACGCAGCCCCTCCTGTCAGACGACAAATCTCAGCTGAGTGTAGGATAACCACGTAGCTGAAGGCTCTGCCCACTGCTTCCTGGTTTGAAACCCATTGCAAAAACGGACCTTGTGTCCACAGTTTGATTCTCTTGCCCCAATTCCCATCTTCGAAACTCATAATATTCAGATCTTCACTGCTAAAACAACAGGTACTTGCTTCTTTTATTTTGCAAAATGCAAGTCCTGATATTTTCCACTAATAACAATAATACAGGCAAGTTGCGTGTATTAAATACTTACTCTGCGGCAGGCCCTCTCCCAAATATGTTACCTACGTTGTTTTATTTGATCCTGCCTATTTTCCTGTGAAATAAGGACTATCATTATTCTCTTCATGTTACAGTAAAGGAAACCAGATGCTCTGAGTGATTAAACTCTCCAGGATCACAAAGCTGGTAAGCGGCTGCATCTGGCTTTGAACCCAGGCTTTCTAATATCAAAGCCCATATAATTAACCACAATACAAGATGCTGTGTGCTATGCCTCAACATTCTCTGTTTTTTTCTAGACTCCGGTTTATAGTAATAACTCAGGGTCAAGATTCTGTGACAAATATACCATCTCAGTGAAGAGAAATCCTGAGGTGCCCAGATGGAAACCAATTTAAGGTAACCATCTCAACCCAAACCCAAGCAAGAGGGAAAGCGCTCTGCAAATAAGAGCTACCTCAGGCCCGAGCTGACCCCTGAACTGCCAACACCTCTGGGTTGTCTCACTGTCATGGCCAACTGCTAAGTGTTTAGCTACCTTTAGTTGGCTTTGGTTAAAAGGCAGACAGAAGAGGTTATTTATAAAAGATACTGAAAAATTGGGGCACCTGGGTGGCTCAGTCATTAAGTGTCTGCCTTCGGCTCAGGTCATGATCCCAGGGTCCTGGGATCGAGCCCAGGGTTCTGGGATCGAGCCCCGCATCGGGCTCCCTGCTCAGTGGGGAGCCTGCTTCTCCCTCTGCCCACCCCCTCCTCATGTTCTCTCTCTCTCTCAAATAAATAAATAAAAATCTTTAATAAAAAAAAAAAAGATACTGAAAAACACTTATCCCCATTTTTAATTCATTTTCCTCTATATTCTTAATTAGAGACTCTTGACTCAACATTCTTTCTTCCTCAGCTGAGTGTTACTTAGGTCAAACGGCTACTCCTGAACAGTATATACTAAAATAAAATGGGTGTATCCAAGAGCCGGGACAAACCTGGAAGAAAATCATGATCCCCAACTCCTAGTTCAGTCCTAGCAGCTCTCAAACTTTTTTTCTGTTCCTGTACACTATGGATGATATTTAAAGTGTGACATACCTCCTTACACATCTCCTGGAGGAACCCTACTCATTTCTCTTCCATTCGAGAAAGTATATCAGAATCATGTGAGCTCAAGTGACATCATTATAGGGATGACATTAACTCTATGAAAAAGAACACCTTTTGCAAACATATATGTGTTAACTACTATCAGGAATAAGTCACAAATAGCTATGGATGTGATATATATTATTTGTAAATATTCTAGATTAAATGTATTGCTTCCTATCCCCTCTTCTTTTGCAATTATTTCATTTTACCTAGATCACCACCACAGCACCATAGCAGACCTGAGGGAAGTACAGTGGAAGCATGAAGTCTGTTAGAAATTGCTCCTGCCCCAGAATTCATACTCATCAAGTCTGGACCTATCCATCATCAGCTGGGAGACAAGGATAGTGAGGACTGGGATATGGAAAGCAGGACTGGGAATGTCTCTCTTTCTCTCTCTCTCTCTCTCTCTCACACACACACACACACACACAGCTTTACTGAGGTATGATTGACAAATAAAAATTGTATATACTTAAGGTGTACCATTGGGTGTTTCGATATACATATACATTGTGAAATGATCACTGCAATCAAGATAAAAAACATATCCATCACCTCATATAGTTACTATTTCCTTGTTCCCTTTTGTGTGTGTGTGTGTGTGTGTGTGTGTGTGTGTGTGTGTGTGGTGAGAACACTTAAGATCTATTCTCTTAGCAAGTTTCAGGTATACAATACAGTATTGTTAACTACAGTCACTTTGCAGTATGTTAGATCTCCAAAACTCATCAACCAGCGGAAGTGAAGCTTTATACCCCCGATCAACATCTTCTCACCCAGCTTCTGGCACCCACCATTCTACACGCTGCTTCTACGAGTTTCACTATGTTAGTTTCCTCGTGTAAGTGAGATCATGCGGTATTTGTCTTTCCACGTCATTTCCACATACAGGACTCCTCTGGTTGTAGAACATTATCATCCAGGCCTTGGTGGCCTGACTTTGGTCACATTTGTCCCAAAGATCCAAAAGGATCAGAGGATGGGTTCTTCAGCCCAGGTGGCAGCCACTGTTTGTGTAGTCTCATATCTGAGTTCTACCCTTACATCCTCAGACCCCAAAGAGCTGGAGAGGTTGATGCTCTGTCCTGCGACTGCCTTGTGTGAAATAGGCTCTGAATACTTCTGCATTAAATGATGATGATGATACATTTGAGTGTATCATGTCACAGCCGTTGCTAATATTCAATCAGCACCACAAATAAATCAAGTCACTTTTATTATTTCTATTTTCCAGATGAGAAAACAGAGGTTCCAAGTATCTAAATAACTCATCCAAAGGCTGTGTTTACAGCCATGATTTGAACCCAAAGCTCTCTGACTCCCAAGCAGTGCTTTTCACCCTGACTTCATTTTGATGGGGCTGAGCCTTTTCGTGACCCTCCCCTTACACCACGACCCTGGCGGCGTCTCTGGTTTTCCCGCCACAGGCCCCCAGTAGCCCGTCGTCCCTGGCCTGCAGAAACACAAAGATGGCTAGGCTGGCCGCTGTTTCCCGAAAGGGCCTCAGTCTCTCCACCAGCCTCTGAGCCCTCGAGGCACGCGGAGCGAGCGTTACCTGTTACGGCGAGCGGACTGAGATGGAAGCTGTCAGGGAGGAGTCGGAGGGAGCAGGCTTGAGCAGACAGGGCGGCTGGGCCGGCACGGGGAGTGCGGGCGCTGGGTTGGGCGCTGGGCTGGCCCCTCGGCACCCGGCAGGGCCGCTGCGCCTTGACTGCCCACCAGACCCGGCCTTCCGCCTTCCGATACGCGCGGCGCTCAGACGGCGCCTACCACTGGGCGCGGCGGCCTTCTGTGGCCGAGATGCTTCCAGAAGGGGGCGCAGCTGAGCACGCGCCCCCCGCAGCGCAGCCGGCCGAGGGACACACACACACACACGCACACACACACACACCCAGCGCAGCCGGCCGCGCGCGCGCGCGCGCACACACACACACACACACACACACACACACACACAGTACTCGCACATGGCCTTCTTGCATTTTGCCTTGAAGAGGAGGGACAGAGAGAGGCTACACGATGCTGGTTATGACCCGAAAAGAGAAAATTAGGCTGCTGAAAAGATCCAGCCAAACCGCACTACTTGCAACGCCCAGTTTGAAACTGCTTACAGGGAAGAGGACTTCTCCCTCGTTTCCTAATTAATCTTTCAAAATTTGCCTTGCACAGCTCTGACTCACAACACATCTGAATGCTTATTTAAGTGTTCCCAAGCTTCCCATTAGAATATACAGACTGTCTGCTTGGAGAATACAAAGAACTCCAGGATCCCCAGGCTTTCCATTAGCACTTTTGTCTTCCCTTCCCTAGACTTCTGCCGGCTTGGACCTCACGGACTACTTGATGTGAAAGGAGTGGAGGTTTTCTTCTACAGTACCAGGCCCCACGTCTAGCACATAGTGCGTGCTCAGTAAAAGTCAGAGGACTAAATGATTTGTTCCAGCTGGGAACGGACACATCTCTTCTAATGCCCACAGCAATCCACCACTCCTTTGGGGTTTGTGCTGCATGGTTTCCCATTGTCTGCCCAATGCGGATTCATTGTCCATGCTCAGACTTGGGACCAAAAGGATTAAAATTACTTCCCAGGTATTCCTCTACCTACCTATCCAAATACATAAGCTGGTAGCTGATTTAATTAAATCCCTGAAGGTTAAAAAAAAAAATGAGGCTCACACAATAGTTATATGACCATTCAAAAGAGAATTCAGTACTTCCCAACCAAGTCGAAAATATGGTTGACTCACACTCACAGAGAAGTGAATCATATTTTCCCCGATTAAGGCAAACTAAGCAAAAAAGCTGCCTACCTTTCAAGGTAGATGTAATGATTTTTGCTGACATTCATTTGGAAAAAAATAATACCCTTACAATATTTTAAAATGTCTTTTTGTACAAAGTAAAATCATTCTGTATTAAGACTCAGAACCCTCTACTTCAGTCCACAAAAATCTCTAATATTCTCTCCCCTCCTTCTGCCTATGTAAATAACCAGACTGTTGGCCCTAGCTGGTTGGATCCCTTTTGCTTCCATCTATTTTTCTATATATAAAAATGACCCTGTTTCTTGGCCTTGATTCTCCTCGCTGTCAGTAGGCTGCTTTGCCCGAAAAGGTATGTTCCTGTTCTTGGCCTTGCCAGCAAGTGGAGTGGATAGTTGATTTGACAAGGTTCTTGGGGTGGGGGAGACAGAAGTAGCAATATCAGGTGGCCAAATAAAGGGAAAATTTAGGTTACAGGTTAGACAAACTTGAACATGTACACTGTAAGTTTTAAAAGCACTGTTAGTTTTTAAAGCACTTGTTATTCCTCATAACTGAAGTTATGTACGGATAACTTTAAAACAAAACACATGTCCAACTGCATTAGGTTTACCAAAAGTTATTTCATTTGGGATAAAATACATGAATCAGATATCTCAATTTCCATAAAACTTCCTTGTTCAAATTCCTAGGTCTAATTTACGATTCAGGGTTAATTGTATTTGGATTTATGTGTCTGAGGATTTGAATGTCTGACATGATAAAAAAAAATCTTTATCTTCACAATACAGTAGGCCTTCCTCTTTTAAAAAGCACAGGAAAATAATTCAGAAAGAAAAATATCTGGGATCTTACTGAGTCTCCAGAGTTTTTGCCTTGTCAACATCTCTGCAATCCTAATAACCTGGTGATCACCTCTGCAAATCACACAGAGCAGGTTGGCCTGTGAACCTCTCAAGAGCCATTCGACTGGTTCTGTCTTCTTAGTGCCCAGCATGATGCCTGGCCCAGCGCAGGTGCTTGGGAATTGTTTAATAGATAACGGAATAGAGCTATTGCCTCCTGGCAGAATGTCATCTCTC